TTATTTTTGGATGGAGGTTTCACATTCTCGCACTAATTAAAAATTTGAACTTGGGAATTATTCTTTGAATAATTTGGAAGTAATAATTTCTGAGGGATAATGTACACAAACCTCAAATTTTCTAAGACCAGAACTTCTATGGAGTAATCGGATGACTTCCTTATGAAATCATCCATAACTTTATATAATGACACATATTCAATGTGCATTTATTGCAGGACATGTGTCAATACATCATTCGCTAATAACGAGTGGGGGCCTAGTTGTTAAAAGATATTAGATAATGTACATTATAATTCAAAATTCCTCTAGGCCATGTAGTCCACTAGCTTAGTCGGAAGGTGAAACTCCCTGTGAAAATAAATGTCGGAGGATCGAACCTGAACCTCACTATCGTGGGGATGAGACACCAGGAGAAAAAGATGTGCACACACTAAAAAAAAATGTGCACATTTTATATATTTAATGGTGTATTCTTTCACTTAATTTATTTGCATGCTTATAATTTTCGCCGTCTTTATTGTTTTGATAGATTAATTTGCTTTTATATTTTTATGATTTGTTTTCAGCTGGAGCATTTTTGTGGATTGCGGCATTAAACGAAAATTCGAGCAAGTCGATTATTGAGGTGTAAATTATCATCCCATTTATATTAACTAGTGCGTAGCCCATGCGATGTACGGGTAAATAATTTTAAATAATAATTAAAAATTAAAGAGGAGCGTAAACAATATTAGTTAATAATTATAAATTAAAGATGTGAGATAATAAATATATATATATATATATATGTTAGAAATATCTAAAATTTTCTAGGACATAATTCTCATTCAACAGAAAATAGTGTAAATAATACAAGAAGTCAAACTTTCAGTATATACAATAACACGATCCACATGCATGTAATCGGTGATCGGACGGTCAAAATTGGTGAAAATGACCAATTGTCGTGAACAGTCCATTTTACCTATAAAAGGCGAAATTTTCATACTTGTTACGATTTTCATAAGATCCACATGCATGTAATCGGTGATCGGACGGTCAAAATTGGTGAAAATGACCAATTGTCGTGAACAGTCCATTTTACCTATAAAAGGCAAAATTTTCATACTTATTACGATTTTCATAAGATCCACCTGCACATTACTCGTTTTCTCAACTTTGTTTTGTTTGATTTTGAAGAACGATTCACAAATTAACCTTGTGAATCTTATGTTTTTGTTTTCAATGATACATATTTCCAAAAATCACGTAAAAAGGGTGGACCTTATGTTTTTTGTACAAATTTCACTTACTTTTTCAAATACCGAACAAATTCTTGGATTTGTATTGTGCCTTTTATTTGGATTTAAAAAATTAATACAAATCTCATTCTAGTTTTTGATTTGTCCGAATCGTGAATTTTGTTTTCGTCCAATTTTCTTTTGTTGTTTGTTTTTCTGTCAATTTGTAGCACCATGTTTTTCCATGTTTGTATTTTTTTTTTTT